GCTCTCTAATGGGAGGGCTGCGGGTAGGGAAGCTGGCATCGGGGGCCATGCTGAGATGGATGAGGCGGGTCTGGGGCATCTGGTCGATGTTGATGCTATATTTCGGCTCCTCCTTTGGCTTTGGCCTCAACGTGGCCGTGGCCGTGGGCAGGATCACATAACTTGTGTCCAGAGCCTTCTCCTGGGCGCGGCTCAGCTCCGAGTCCAGCTTCTTGAAGATGTCCCCATCGCCGACGAAAGAGGCTTTGGGTGCTTTGTCCTTCTTAAGGGTAAGTGAGTGGTTGGGAAAGGCGGGCAGGGGGCCCCCGGGGCAGTGTGGGGAGCTCTGCAGACGCAGCTTGGACACATTGGCTGGCAGGCTGTTGAAGGTGGATGGAGGTCCCTTGGCATGGGCCAATTTTAGCTTCTCTTCCTCAGGCAGTGACGGCCGCTTGAGCGTGCCTGTGATGGTGGCTGTGCGGCAGGCTGCAATGTCCTTGTTCAGCACTAAAGGGCCAAGGGGAGACAGCAGGGAGGGTCAGGGCGGTACAGGGTGGCTGCCAACAGGGGAGGCCCAGCCTACTGCTATCCTGCCCTAATCTGCTGTGATCCTGGGCCTGTCCCCCAAGGCATGGTGCACAGCAGCTAAAGCTCCTCTGTCTTTCAGCACGAGGTGGGCAGGCAGGGTGCCTCCCTGCCAACCCCCATGTGGACACACGATTGCCTCCCACATGATGTTCCTGCAGCCAATGGCTGGTGAGGGGCCCTTGCTAGAAGCACAGAGACACAGCCAGCATCACAGCGTTAGGGTTAGGGGACAGGTCCACTGGCCTTTGAGTGCTCCCACTGTCCCCATCCCCGGGGATCCCTGAGGCCTACTGGTGGGCTTGACCTCAGGGTCCCAGGAGTACTCAGGCACCTCCTGCCTTGTCATGCTTAGTAGCCTGCAAGCCTGTGGCTAACTTCAGCTCTTTGCCCAAAAGGATTTTTGCTGGTCCCAGGTGGTGAGCTCCCCCATACCCACCAGCCATGTGTAGGATCAGCTGCCCAAACTCTGATGTGGGCTCCAGCCCTCCACTCCATTGGCCACTGGAGAACCTGAACCTGCTCACATCCCTCTCTCTCCATACCCCTCTAGTGGGTCCACTCTCCAGACCCAGCCCTGACCCTGTGCCTACCACACTGGGGATGGGCTCCCAGACCACACCTGGCCCAGCCCCAGCCCCAGCATCCACCACTCTTCCCTCTGTTCTTTGTCAGCAGCTGGGCCCTTGGCATCCCTGCAGCCCGCTGGCTACCCAAGCCATATCTTCTCCAGTCCCCTAGCAGCATCTCAGACCACCCATCTGGGTCTCTTGTCTTCTCCATTGTTTGGACAATAACATTCTGTGCCATCTTCCACCCTGGCCTCTCCCAAGAGTGGACCAACCATCTTCCCCATCAACCCAGCACAACCCCTCCCAGGGGTGTCAAGGCCATCCTGGGACACAGGCTCTAAGCCCAGCTAGCCTAGTGCATGCCACAGCCCTATAAGTTCCTCACATTCTTCCCTAGGAAGCAGAGGCAGTACACCCCCTGCCTGTGCCTGACTGCAGGCACAACCCAGCTTGTCCAAGCATACCTCCACCCCCACCCTGCCTCATGCATTCTGGAGAAGCCTTGGCCCATGGTGTGGCCATGCCCTATGTACCACCAGCCACACACAATATAGAAAGTACACACTGATAGAAACCACTGCGCCCAGAGAGGCTAGTGCACAGTCACACAGGGCTGGGCCCAACCTCCTAATCCTCCGAGTCCTGGGGTCACCTCTCAGAGAGATGGTGGAACTGGATCTCTGCAGAATGAGGACAGGGGTGGTGGCAGAGCCTTTCTGTTGATCCTTGAGGTCACCTCCTCCAGTAAGCCCTCCTAGGGTCCATCTGGTGGCAGCTGGCATTCCTTACCTAGAGCTATCCCAACCTCTCTGCCATGGCTACCTCTAGAGAAGGTGTTCTTGAATACCTGGCCAACCAGTTAGAGCAAGACCAGGTGCCCCTTCCATAGTCAGACACTGACTGCTACTGCTTCGGGCACCTGGTCCACAATACATCACCGAAGAAGGAAGTAGTTCCTTATCCATTGACATCAGGGGTTAGGGAGGACCTTCCTCTATTGGACAGCTGATTCTTATTTTGCACTTGCTTTCAGGAAACTCAGAACTAGGCTGAGGCTCCAAAAGCAGACCTTTTCTCAGATTCCTTCCTGCCTCATCTGATGTCCTCCAAGCCTGAAAGCTCGACCTGCCTCTCCCCATGCTCAGACCAACAATGAAGAGATAAGCAACATTACACGGGTGATCAAGGAAAGGCAGAAGGAGGGGTGGTGCTGTGGTGAAGGTGGAGTTTCATGCAGTGCTTTCTCAACCACACTGTCCATGAAGAGGGTGCAGGGAACAACAGGAAGCAGGAAGGTGCTAAGTGGCATGTGTGGTGGGAGGGTCAGGACAGGTTCCTGGAGCTTCCTCCAGTTGTGCCCAGAGCCTCCTGCAGTGAGAGAATGGGGGTTTGATGGCACGTGAATGTGCACACACACACACACACACATACACACACACACTTGGAGGAAAGAAGGAAGCAGGTGAGCCAGCCTGGCCACCTGTCGCTCTCACCTGTGGGGCGCTCACCTGATCTACAGGCCAGGTCCACGTCCTTCTCAAAGTCGGTCTGTAAGACAGAGATGAGGGCAGTGAGTTCCTGCCATGCAGGGGCTGCTGGCTGCATGTAACGTGAAGGGGCCACCAGAGCCAGAGCCACACCTGGAGGGCAGACGCATGTGCGTGTGTGTGAGGGCTCATGAGCACTGAGGAGTCCACATGCTTAAGATGCCTGCGTATTCCCGTGGTGTCACTAAGAACCCCACGAGTGGCCATACCTTTGCATGTTCTTTCTAGGTGCTTTCATGTACGTATGTGAGTGCATGTATGTGTGTTCACATGGGTGGTCAGTGTTCGTTTGAGTATTCATCTGATCAGCATGTGTGAGTATGGGGGTGTATTTGTGTGTGTGTGAACACATGTATTTCAGAGGATAAGTGCATGCATGTTTATGCACATGTCAGTGTGTTTATGTAGAACTTTATGCATATATGAGTGTGTCTGAGTACTTGTGAATGTGTTGTGTGGGAACTGTGCGCTTGTGTGCAGGCATATACATGTGTTCTCCCACCAAGTCATGATTGAGCAGCTGGCTTCTGCCCCTCTGGCCTCTGCCTCTTGTCTCCCAAGCAGCACCACAGCCTCCAGAGCCACACTGGACATGACTGGGGCAGGCAGAGCAGGTTGTGGACATGGACCTGGGTGACTGGCTGGCACAGTCACCCTTGAGCAATGTCCTGGTCCACATGGCAGTCCTTAGGGAGCATGGGCCCAGTCCATGTCCTGGCAGGGGCAGCCAACCCTCAAGCTCAAACCTCTAGATTCCTTCCCTGTAAATGCAGGAGTGAGGCTGGAGGAAATACAGTTCTCCCCGGGGTCAAAAGTGAACACAAGAGGGTCAGGCAACAGAGGAAGGGGCATGTCACCATGACAAAATACTTGTCAAGGCTCCTGACACCTGCTGTCTTCCAGAGGAGACAATGAGGTCAGAGGGGCTGGCCTCCTCTGTGCCTGGAGCTGGACACCTGTGGTGGGTGTGGGTGATGCCAGAAGGGCAGAAAGCCAGCTTCCTGCACCAGACAAGGATGGGGGAGATGCCAGGGCCCTGGGGCCTGAGGAGGGGTCTGGGCTCCATTCTTCCTGTGCATCCCTAGGTGTCTGAGCCAGAATCCAGACAGAGACTGCAAGGGGCCCAGGGGCAGCTCTGGTTCTGGGTGGGTCATGGACACCTTGGTCCCTGGCTTGGGGTACAAGGCTGCCAGGGTTCAGTGAGGCTGGTGGGTATGGAGTCTGAGGGTCCCTTGGGGCTACTGAAGGGTTCTTGGGGAGGCCAGGCTCGAGGCCTTATGGTGGGCCTGTGTGTGGACTTGGGTATGGAGCTCTGAGGGTGCAAAAGGGACATCAGGAAGATATTGTATTGGACAGGATATGCGGTGGATGCCAGCCCAAACTTGCCATCTTGGCCTTTTCCAGCTAAAAACCCTGGCCCAGGAATTTCACCTTGGTAAGCCTCAGAGTCCCCAACCACAGCCTGGGCTCAGACTTCTAGTGAGCCAGCTGGGCCCAGTGAAACAAACTCTGGACACAGGAAGGACCTGGAAGCCCCCCAGTCCTACCATGAGCTGGGCATGGCCGTTCTGGAAGGAGCCCCCTGAGTCCCCGTTGCCTTCCTCCTGGCGGTCCACCACACGGCACTTCACGGCATCCTGGACCTGGGGAAGACGGAGACATCAGCAGGTAGCTGGGGTCCCACTGCACAACTCCTCACAGGTGTTTTAGGAAAGGGCCCACCCCAGTGAGGACACTCCTACGAGGGTAGAGAAGGGACAGTGATGTGTCAGGCTGAGGGTCCCTCTCCTTGTCCCTGGCACTCTATGCCCTTTGGTGTACAAAGATGAAGAGACTCCAGTTCCAGGCCACTGAGAAGGTGCTGTGAGCCTGGCTGACCAGAGGCTGAGATAAGGACCCCCACCAGCCTGCAGTGGGGCACGGAAGCCCCAATGTCTACTACTTCCCCAGCCATTTCACCAAGACCAATGAACTCTGTTAAAGGGGATTTTTACCAGCCAGAGATCCAGTGTCAATGGCAACAGGCTGGCTGTGGGTGGGTTGCAGTAACTACAGTCTGCATGTTTAACATGGACACTCCACCAAAGAGCCCCAGCACATAGAAAGACACAGAAGCCAAGAGCTGGGTGACGATCCACCTCATGACTTAGACACAGGGCACAGCCCAGAGTTACTGAGGGCTCTGTAGCAAGGCTGTGTCCGTGTCCTGTGCACTGGCCATCCTGGAGCCTGCAGAAGCCCAGTTCCTAATTTCCTGATGATCCCCAGATCCTGCAGGCTGGGCTCTATTGAACATCCTTCATCCTTTGATCCTCTTGGACAGGTCCTGCCTGCTGCTCCAACCTGCAGATCCAGCCAGCTGCCTTTGGAAGCCACCTCCCCGTGTGGGATTCTCTGCTCTCTGCTGGATGGGCAGTTACCCCACTAACTGCAGCTCTGCAGGTGCTCACTGCTCTGAGTATGACTTTCATAAGCTCTTCTGTCCCAGGACAGTTCCTTCCCTCCTTCCCTGCAGGCTACTATCCTTGTTCCACAGAAACCAGGTGCAAGAGGCCAGAAAGGACGTCAGGGCAGACAGAAACCTCACATCTACACTGGGCCAGACAGGTAGATCAAGGACCTGGCCATCATACAGTGCTCGGACAGCCGGGTAGGTATCATTCTTTTTTTTTTTTTTTGGTACCGGGGATCAAACTCAGGTCCTTGTGCTTGTAAGGCAGGCTATAGAACTGCTGAGCCAAATCCCCAGCCCAGCATTCTTTTAGATAGCAGGGAGCAGCCTGGGGACTGTCTTCCTCCCATGGCTGCCTCTTTTCAACTCACTGTTTCCCACAGGCTGGCCAGAGGCTTTCCCATAAACAGCTCTCTTCAGCTCTACTCATTGGCGGGAGCTGCCCTCAGCTGAGGTGAGGGCTGAGGACAGGAACTTCAGGAGGGACCCTCACAGCAGGGCTGCAGGGGAGGACACTTCTCCCAGAAGAGTAACCCCAGGGGCAGTGCACTGTTCCCACCTGTTTTCAGGAGAGTCTTTGTCTTCAGGGCCCCTCCATCCACTCATCCTGGGCTGAGGCCCACGTGGGGGAGACAGGCAGCCCAATGTCCAGGACAGGATAGGATAGTTGATCCTTCAGAGGACACCACCCTAGGCTGCCCAGGTCTGTGTCCAGGTCAGTAGCAACCTGGCTCCCCTCTCCCTCAACCTTGGTCCTGCACCCCAGCCTCCCACTGCTGTTTCTGTCCCCACCTCTCTGGTTTGTCCACTCCCATGTGAGTGCTTTTAAAAAAGTCCACAGCATTGTTCTAGGAAGTTGCAGAGAGCAGGAGAAGCTATGGTCCCTCTTGCTCCTCCAGCACATCTTTGTTCTGACCCAAGCAGGGGTCTTAGTCTATTGAGATCTGGACAAGTCACCTTGTTCCTGTCCCCAGCTGGCTGAGAGGACCTGGTCTTGATACCTTCTAAGAAGGTTCAGAAAATGGCGGAAACACCTGTTATTGGCTCTGGTGTTCAGTAGGCCCATGAACACATAGTCCCACTGGCCTCAGTCACCCTCTGTCCCCGACTGGCTGGGGCCAGCAAGGAGGCAATTTGTGGGGACCTACCTCTCTGCGCAAGATGCAGTGAACCATCACGATGACGAAGCCCTCCAGTGAGTCGAAGACAGCAAAGAGGATCTGGAAGAGGGCGGAGCGGCGGTCGGTGACGGCGAGCACGGCCGACATCCAGGTCAGCGCCAGGAGTGGCAACACCACACAGGAGCTCCACAGGGAGGCCCTGGGGATGGAGGGCGTCAGCTGGGCCGGTGGAGTGGCTGCTGCCCCAACGGGTGCCTCCCTCCTTCCCACTCCCCTCCCAAGCCCCTCAGCCTGGCCCCTGGGCTGCAGCAGGGTCCTGCCCAGCAATTCCAGGCCTGAGGGTTCTCCGGGGCCCAGCAAAGTGGAGCTCTTTGGGAGAGACCCAGGTTCCTGACTGTCTAAGAGGCAACAGGGGAGAGAAGGCAGGTTGGAAGGGGATGGGACAGGGACCTGGGAGCTGTTGGGGCTCGGAGACACCTGGTTCCAGCTCCCAGGGCCTTGGTTTGAGGACCCAAAAACCCAGGTGCTGAACTGTAGTGCCCTGTGGCCAACGGAAAGGGAAGGAACTCAGTGAGAGGAAGGGACAGAGAAACTGAGGGGACACACAACAGACAAGGCCAGAGGGTCAGAGGAGAGACCAAGACAGACAGGACAGAGACGAGACAGGCGCTTCCTCCTCTCCTTGGGCTGTGCACCCCATCCTCCTGACAGCACCTCCACCCTGGCCTGGCTCTCCCTTGCCACTTGCCACCCAGGCCTCACATGTGTGCTCACAGGCTCTCTGGAAACCTGCCTTGGTCACAACCTGGCCCTATGTGATTCCCAAGACCATGTGGCCTGGGGAGCACCACCAGGACACCCAGGCAGCTCTGCCTCGGCTTATGTGGATCTTTCAAGGGTGCTAGAGTCATGGTCATCACCAGGAGGCATGGCTGGCACCAGGATAGGTTGCTCCTCTCCTCACTCAGGGATGACTGCTGTCCTCTGAAGGAACAGCAGGAGATAGGCAGCAGAAATGAACGGGGAAGAGGTCCAAGCTGTGAGGTCAAGGACAGCAGGGCTGAGAGAAGAAAGGCTGGAAGGACTCAGTGCAGGTAGGTATAGGAGGCCCAAACCAGTGGGGCCTTGACAGTGGCTTAACTATGTTCCTAGTGCAGGGGACCAGCCTAGGCCCAACACTGAGGGAACAGCTCCATCCTCATTTCTGGACCTCTGAGGTCACAAGATCCTGACTCTTACTGCCTCGTCTAGACTCTGCTCTCATGCTGGGGCCTGGTCCTGCTTCTCCAGCCTGGGGCAGCTGGAGCCAACACTGCTGTCACCACCATCAGACACAGTGCCAATGTTTCCTGGGACTCAGGGCCAGCTCCCCAGTCACCCACTCTGGGTCAGACCATAGCCAGGAGTGGTCCTGAAGACCCCCACCAACTGGGACAACAGGGCTCCAAAGCTGGATCCCACATGACCCTCCATTTGCTGGACTGTGAGGGTTGAAGCACAATGGTTTTGAGGATGTGGCAGGGTGGGCCTCCCCAGCACCTGGGCCACTCCCCACCCTACACAGCATGGTGCATTAGCTCACTCCATGCCCCATGGCTGGTAAGGGCTGAGGTAAACAGGCCTTCACAAAGTGACTCACAGTCACTCTAAGCAGGATCCTTCCTGGCTCAGGGCCTCAGTATCCCCACCATGAACATGGGCCTGATAACTTCTCTCTCCTCCCGAAGCACCTGCATCAGTGAGGGGAGCAGAGCCCAACCCACCCACGAAGATGTCTTGGCCCCAAATCATCTTCCTTGTTTCCCTGCATGGAGCTGGCCTCCAGTAGCCAGCTACTAGATAGCATGGGGCTCCATAAATGATTCCTGGGCCCCACAGCTTTGGAAATAATTTTGCACAGTCCCAGAAAGGACCCAAGTGGAAGAAAGAGAAGCTTCCCTCTATGCTGGACAGCCCAAGCCTGGGGGTTACTGCCTCTAACTTGGCCTTCAGGGCCACTGGAGCAGAGCTCCAATAGGATCACCCAACAAGACCACTAACCCCAAATACCCAGCACCACCAGGGCAGGGCACCTGGCCTCCAGGTCAGTGTGGGACCAGCCCAGGGCAGGCTACTGCTTGGCTGAGCCCTGTACCTTACGTACCCCTCTTCTACCACCAAATCTGTATGCAGGTGAGCTCCCCCAGTTTCATGGCTGGAACCTTCTCTCCACCGCTTTGATTTTACTAAATCAAAAACTCCTAAAATCCTGGGCTCCAGTGCCCAGACTGGGAGCAAATACAAAGGGTCCTTGGCTCTAGGGTCTGGGGACTCAGCATCAACATGACCTGAGGGAGGCATGGACAAGATGCCCTCTTAGAACTGGGAACTAAACACTCTAGGCCAATAACCCATGCTCACCTGAGCCCAAAGTCCTGCCCTGCAAAGCCCCAGATGCCAGGTCACCTTCCACTAAGCCCAACCCTCATCCTTGAGGGTTCACAGACACACAACACACTAGGCAACACAACGCTCACATACACATACATCTGTGTTCATACACTTACACAAGCTCTCCAGCAGCTGCCCACGCGTGCGCGCAGTCACTTTCACACACATGCATATGCTTCTGCACACACTTATCTATTACACTTCCACATGTATACATCCCTCCTAGGTTCACACTTACATGTACACTCCCATGCAAATCTACACATGCACACTCCCCACTCCTGTCTACACACACCCATTCATTTGGGCACACACTCATACCTGTATACACTCTCACAGGCATGCACATACATGTTTGTACATTCACACAGCCCTGCCCTGTGCCCGAGGGAGGAGTTGCAGACCAGAGCTGCTATCCCCGTGCTGCTCGGTACAGCAGTGTGGCCAGGGACATGACACACCACTGGGTCCTGGGCGGGACAGGGCTCACACCCATCCTGACTGCCCCCTGGCCTGGCACACTCTGACTCCTGCTGTGTTCTGTGCTGTGCATGTGCAGGACCCACAGTGTGGGAGAGAAGTTGGGGCAGAGGCAGGGAGAAGGAGGGGAACTTGGGGAACCCACGGTGTGGCAGAAGTGAGAGAATTGAAAGAACATAAAACAAACAAATGTGACTGAGAAGAGAGCAGAGCCCGAGGCAGGCTGCAGCCGAGGTGGCAGCAAGGCACTAACATGGCGTTACTGGTGGCGTCGGAGGTGACATCAGCCGCAGAGAGGACTCCACACTCGGCACATTTGAGGGCGCGCCCGAGGGGGGCCCGGGGCAGCTGACTGCAAGTGAAACCAAAGGCTGAAACAAAGCAAACACGTTCTCACGGAAACCAACGGGGGGACAGAAAAGAGTAAAACAAGTAAGAGGCCACCTACAGGACAGGCCTGCACAGTGGAGCGGAGCATGAACAGAGCCTTGGGTTGCCTGCGGCTGGGCATCAGGGCAGGTGGTAGCAGAATGTGAGTGCTACGACCAGCTGACCTTGGCCTCAAGTTTGCACAAAGCAGTCATCTCCTTGAGGGGGCCAATGTCACCTTCCCTCTTCCTCCAGGTAGGGCTGCAGGGGTAACGACACACTTGCCAGCACTCTGACAGTGGGGACAGGGTTCGGGAGCTGACCTGGACAGTGGCCTCTCGCAGGGCCATGTGGGCGTGCCCATGCTTGTGTGCATGGTCCTCTCTGTGGACACGAGGACAGGACAGGCATTTGCCTAGAATGCCCATGGTAATGCTGGAATCCCAGCTGCACCAGCTACTCACCCTCCTTAATTAAACCTCAGTTTATTCCTCTGCAAGATGAGAACATGAAAACAGCCTGCTTCAATGGTTATTCATTTTGTTTGCTTGTTTTGTTTTTTATTTGAGACGGGGTCTTTCTAAGTCACTAATTTACCCAGGCTGGGCTTCAACTTGTGGTTCTGCTCCCTTCGCGCCCCCAGGGGTTGAATGCAGGCATGTGCCACCATAACAGGCTTTAATGCTTATTCTAAGTGCAAACCAACAGGCCTTGGGAAGAGCATTGCACCCACAGCTGCTTCTAGGACTCAGCAGCTGAAGTCAGTGTGTGGTGCAGTGTGATGCCCAGACCCACACGAAGGCCCTTTTTTTGGTGTGTGACCGCTGTCCACAGAGTATGAGGTGGGATGGGCAAAGCCTCACAGGCCAGAGTTGAGGCCCAGGAAGTAGGAGACCAGGCCAGTCAGCCACACAGCTCTCCCCTTGGGGAAGGCTTCCTGCTGCCTTTCACAGGGGAGAGTAGGAGGAGCCAGAGAGAGACAGAGAAGAAGAGAGACACAGCAAGACTGGCACAGAGGGGAGGGTGGGGTCCACCCCACACAGGCGTCGGCCAGCTGGCAGGACAGACAGCAGCAGAGGTGGGGAGGAGGGCTCATTGAGCAGGGCAGGGCTCTGCCCCAATGTCCGTGGGACCAGCCTGTCCCTGAGGCCCAAGACAGCAGCACCCACCCTTGGTGTTGAGCCTCTGGGAACAACATCCCCCACTGTCGCTGGAACTGACCCCTCTGACAAAGGCCCCACAGGATAAGGAATCAGTTGCCCGAAAAGTTAAGGTCCTGCCTTGGGTCATACGGCGAAGCTAGGGACCAGGGAACCTAACCCGAGCCAAGAAGCATCTCTGTGAGCAGCTTCACTATTCCTGGAGACTTTACAGGGCCCTCTCCTGTAATAGGTCAGTGTAGAAACAGGCACAGTGAAGTGTAGCCTGAGCAGGCCTCTGTGCCTCAGTTTCTCTACCTGCTCCAGGGTCCCCCAGCCCTGCACTGTCAGATTGGGCAATGGGGCATCTCCATCTGCAGGGGCAAGAAAGGTGCCATGCAGCCTGGCCTACCCTGCCCGCTCCTTCAGCTTCTTGTCCGTGATGCCGTCTTTGGACACAAGCTTGTTAAATACCAGGATCCCAATCACCATGTTCACCTGCAGGTAGAGAGGCAGTGATGGGCAGGCAGCCACACCCATGGTGCCCTGCATCCCACCCAGGTTTGCTGAAGTGCCCCCACCACAGAGACCAGTGCCAGCTACGTGAGTGCTGCAGTGACCTCAGGTCCAGATGCCTTCACGAGGAACCCACTCTTCCCTGGGCCTCACCCCATGGCACCCACACCCTTCCATCTCTCCAAAGACAAGAAGCTCATCACCCCCAGGACTAGGGATGCCCTCATCAGCCTGTTCGGGGGACCCATTTCCTGACCTCCCACCACACTGATTCTCAAGCCCACTCATGGCCTCTGTAGGGCACTCAGCACGCTGGGTGCTCCTGAGGTCTCACACATCTCTCATGCTGCTACCAAAGATAAGAGGGGTTCTCAAAATGCCCTATGAAGCCTCCATACCCTGAGGCTCCTGGGCACCCAAGGGGGCCCCTCTGACCTTCTCTGGTGGTGGGGATACATCCTAGCTCAGTCTGCGCTCCACACTCTTATAGCAAGAGTCTCTTAGTCCCGGTAGGGCTCCCACTCAGCAGGAGGAGCCTTCAGAGACTATGATGCCTATGGCCTATTCCCATGAATCTGCAAACTCAGGACTGTACTCACAGGGCCTGCCTGCTGGGGTGCTATGAATGGAGAGTTCTTAGCTAATGTTGGTACTCAGTGGGCTTTGGTGAGGGGGTCTCCCTTGGGCAGCCTCGCTGGGTCATGTGGCCAGGGGAGAGGAGGGTGGACAGGCCTTGCCCTGGCTACCTGCCTGCAGCCCACTCACAGGGGCCAGGGCTTGGAGTCCAACAGCAGTTAGGACTAGTGAGGATAGAGCTCCTGCCTCATTAATCCCTTGCCTTTACTCCCTAGTCACCTGACATTAAATGGCCCCTGGCCCTGCTGGCCCTTGAGGCTGCCTGGGAGACACTGACAGGTGCTACCAACCCAGGCCCTATTTCCTTGTGCTTAGGTGCCTTTGAGAAACATCAGAAACAAAAAACCAGTGAGTCAGGAGGCCATAGGGGTGAGGAGAGTTTGAGACCTCCGATGGATACAGCCCCCTTCTCCACCCACATTCCCAAAATCCCGGGCGCATTCCCTGTGGGGCCACCTACATGCCCAGGGTCTGCATTGCCTGGAAAGGGAGATGAGGGCAAAGACGCAGCATCACCACTCCTGGGACTAGTGAGGACTGGGGGAGGGTCCCACCCCTGGTGACCAGACCACTCCATGGGGCAGGTGAGGAAACTGAGGTCAGGCCCAGCCTAGGACAAGGGGAGAGGGCCAAAGTCAGTTACCAGCACAACGGCAGCAGCTGGTCCCACGAAAGCGTACAGCAGTCCCCCCTCCAACGAGAGCCAGCAGCTGGGGAGAATACAGGCTGGTTAGCACCTGCTCATTCGCCACCACATGCCAACAATGGAAGCAGTGCTGCTGGTTTCTCAGAACAAGGGATAACAGCTGGAGGGCAGCAGAAGTGGCAGCACTTATTAAGCACCCGCACCATGCAAAGTATGTCACTCTTGGCTTTGGATTCCCCAGGAGCCCTTTGGCCTCCACCATCACCCCTAGCTATAGATGGAAACAGGCCTAGCACAGGCATGTGCACTTGCAATCAGACAGCAGAGGCCTGACTTCTCTTCCTCTCCTAAAGTCCCCTTCCCAGCTTATATTCCCATTCCCTGGACTCCAACCACAGTGCCAGTGCTGTCTGTTGAACACACTTCCCTTCATCCTTCAGAGCCCCACTTCAGTGTCATCCCTTTGGGACTCTGACAGGCCAGGTGTCCCCTCCTCTCATCTCTGGGGATAGTGTCCGCATTTCCACTCCAGACTTAACCCTGACTGGCTCTGAGTGACTGCATCCTTATCTCTGCCCACTCCCCACCACACACCACAGTGAGTCAGACTGGCTCTGGCTCCCCACTCAACTTGGATCAGCTCCTCCCCTCACCTGCTCCCCACTCATCCCATCCAGCACCCCCACCACAGGTCTGTCCTTGTCTCCTTCCCCATCCCGAGCCTTCTCTCCTCATCTGGGGACCCACACTGCTTTTAGGAGAAACCCAAGTATCCTGGTTCAGCACTCAAGGCTCCAGGACCTGGCCCAAATGACTAATGGGGACCTTGGGATCTCACCTGGTAACAGATACCACCCCTGCCCGGCCCCAAGAGCACATGTCGGGTGCTGCTGCTCTACTCTGAGCTGTCCAGGCCTCCCCATCAGTGCTCTGCAGATGAGGACCCTAAAACCCAGTAGCTAACAACCTGTCCAGGCCACCTAACAGGGAGGTAGGAGGCCCTAGAACTTCAGCCCGTGCTTTCCACCCCTACCTGACCAGTTGGCCAAGAGCTCCAGCCACGGTGTCCACCCTCCCCAAGCCTGAGATTGAACCCAGCCACACAGGGCATAGGACACAAGTGCTATCATGTTCTAGGGATGCAGAAAGCCTGCTCACAAATGGCCAGTAACAGACCTCCTCCTTTCCCAGCTATCACCAGACATCAGCCCAAGGGGTCATTCAGAAGCCCTGCCTCCGCCAACTTACTAGTTCATGGTGCTGTACCCTTTGGCCTTGGTGAATCCCACAGAAATGGCCACAACCAGTGCAGGAAGCCCTGGAAGAGAAGCAGAAGAGTAGGTAGGTATCAGCCCCACCACTGCCCTGGGGGGTCAGCCTCATCCCTAGCTCCCGTCCCCCTCTTCTCCAAGTGCTGCCTGTGATGGAGGGAAGAAAAATGAGCCCATGAAGCCCAGTCGGAGCGTGACACTGAGCATGTGAGCGGTGGAAAGGTGGCCACATGTGAGGAGCTGCAGAACCAGAAGCAAGACTGTCAAGTTAGCAAAGCAAACTCAGGGCCCAGTGACACTGAAATTCAGATAATGCAGGAATCATTTTTCAGTATAAGTATGTCCCAGATGTTACTTGAAATAGATTTGCACTAAAAATTATTCCTTATCTAAAAGTCAAGTTGGCCAAGCTGTGTTTTCCCTGGCTACCCTGGGAAGGGACAAAAGGCCTGGAGCAGAGGAGCCCCCAGGGGTCTCTTCCCCAGGATGACAAGGGAGAGGCTGTTGTGCAGGGACCAGCGACAGGACGGTGGCTAGGAGCTCAGAACACAGCCCACCTGCCTGCCTGCCCACAAAGTCACACACTCACCCCAGCCCAGGCAGACGAAGCGCTTTCGGATGAGCCGGTTCCGGAGGCGACCAGTCACAGCCATGTAGGACTGCCAGGCCTCGGTGAGCACCCAGCAGAAGGAGGACAGGAAGAAGAAGTGCAGGAAGGCTGCCACCAGCGTGCACACCACCTGCGGGCAGGTGGCCAGGGGACTGGGCAAGTGTCCCCAGCCTCCTGCTGACTCCAGTGAGTGCCCGCCGAGACTAAGAAAGGCCCAGCGCAGCGTCCTCAGCTGGCACCCGGCCAAGTGCACAGGCAGGAAGCAATCAATGGGTGACTTGGTCCCTGCCCTGTAACTGGCATTCAAGTGTAACCCCCAAGCTGAGTGCTTATGTGATCCTGCCATGAACTGCGAGGGATAGACCTCCCTCTCCAACTGTCACCAGATGCTGGCCTAGGGGTTACTCAGAAGCCTCATCTCCAGCCGTTTGTCCAGCAGATAGTGAACCTGAGGCCCAAAGAGGGCATATCACAAGGACCCACAGAAAGTCACAGGCAAGTCTGCTGTGGCTGTGAGCTTCTGCCATAGGACACAGTGTGTTTCGGGGCCAGGTCTGCTCTGTCTCATTGAAATCCTTGTCCCCGATGCATGACAGTTGCAAATAGGCAGAGGCCTTCACTCAAGGCCTGGGCCTGTTGTGTTTGGCAGGCCAGAAATGAAGAGAATGGGGATGGGAAGCAGGATGGGGAGCTTGGGGAGGAAGGCCAAGGAGCCCCAATGTGTGCTACCAGACTCAAGGTTGGCTGGGGTGGGACCCATGCTCACAGACCACCATGACCCCACCCAAAGACAATGGGAAATGGGTGGCAAGGCAGAAGGCACCTACCTTGTTGCGGGTCTGAGTCTGCCCAATGAGAATGAGGGCATTGGAGGAGATGATGGACAGGCAGAAGTTGATGAGGATGACAGACCGCTCCGAGCGGATGTACCTGTGGGAGAGGTCAGGCCTGAGATGAGCACCCAATGGGTCTCAGCTTTACAAGGACCAGGTGCCCACCTCCTCCCTGCAGTCACCACCACTGCTACCACCATTAGCATCACATCCATCACCATCATACCACCACCAAAACCATTATCCCATCACTATCACCACCGTCATCACCCCCCCATCACTACGATCACCATCATCGCCACCATCACTATACTCTGCAACACCACCACTACCACCAACACCAACACCCTCACCACGACCACCTTCACCATCACCACCACCATCACAACGACCACTACCGTATCCACCGCCATCAGCACCACCACCTCTGTATCACTATCACCATTTTCATCAGTACTTTCGGTATAACCATGAACATTACCACCACCACCCCCGGCACCCCTTAGCTAGTGAGATCCACCCAGGCGAAGAGCAGAGGGTGCAAGGCTGAGCCTTGGGGACCCTGATATGTCTCTCATTTGCTCCATAACCTGAGGCAGTTCACATTCGCTGAACAAGTGTGGGTCCCCACTTCCTCATGGAGCATATCAGAACAGTCTCTACATGCAGCTGGGCAGGGGCACATGGTGGTCAATGGTGCTGGTTGGGAGAGATGCTTTGAAAAGTCAGTGCAAAGCTTAGCAGGTCTGAGCCAGAGTCCAGAGCCCCTGGCCCTCATGTTTTAGAATACCTAGTACCCGCCAGGGATTTAGCTCAGTGGTTCTGCTGCCTGCCTTGAAAGTTCAAGGACCTGAGTTCAATCCCGGGTATAAAGAAAAAAAAAAGAAAGAATACCTAGTACCTAAGGTAGGTAGGTGCTAGCTGCTGGTGGAGGAAACAGTCATAATCCGCTACTGGTCCCAATGGGAGAAACACTGGATGCTCTGCCCTTGGGCAGGGCATTGGAGGGCACCTGCTTTAATTGCCACTTGTCATCAACAGAGCTCAGGCTACCCCTCACCCCGACTGCATTGATCCCTCCTTGCCCAACCTCTGGCAGCAGCCGGGCCGTCAGTTCCAATTATTGGCTGACATCGCACTGCCCTCAGAACCAGCATGGCCAGGCGCAGGGGCTGCATATCTCTGGCTATACTGGGAATCCCAGCTCAGCCCTGCAGCAGTGACCTTGAGCTTACCCTCCTTACTCCAAGCTACTCAATGGGGCTGGGCACAGTTGGGTAGGGAGGCAGGCCCACCCGTGGGCACATGCCTACAGTCACACACTCCAGATGAGGACACATGCCCATGACACATCTGTGGCCACCTCTCCTGACACTGACCCAAACCTCCTCCTGCCACTCGCATGGGCTCCTTACTGGCTCAGATACAAGTCTCATGACACACATCTCCCTCTCCCACCCAGCACCAGCAAGGCCTACTTCCCCACGACCCATACATGGGACAGGCAAGGTATCCTGGGCTCAGCCCCTGTGGCCTTGTGGAAGGAGCACGGGGCAGGGGTGAGCAGAGGCTGTGGGCTCTGAGCCTGACCTAGCTCCAAGGGGCACTTTCTTTGGAAGGTGCAGGCACAAGGACACACAAGGACACTGGGTGGCCACAGGTACCCCAAGTGGGCAAAGGGCAGGTGCTCAGTGTGCCCAGCTAGGGTATATGCCTTGGTGCATTACTAAGGACAGGAGAAATTGGAACCCATGCAGGTGGACCCAGCTGGAGTGTGGCCCACTCATTCACACCATCCTACTTCTGTGCCCCTCAGCCCCAGTGACACTCAACACATTTAGAACTGGAGCATGAGATGTATGCCGGGTGTAGGCTGGGTTGGTAGCAGAAGCGAGGGTGCTGTCCGTGGTGCTGGTGCATGGATGCTGCAGGTGACTGGGAAGGTGAGAAAGAAGAAATGAGCAGAGCCATGGGCCCCTCAGCCAGCACTCACCTCCACACAGACACGTAGATGATGACCAGCATGAGGAGGGTGAGGGAGGACACACCACAGCCCACGATGAGCGTCACGGATGGCACAGTCGCCTTCTCCATCGTCTATGGTGCCAGAGAGATCACAGGGATGAGATATGGCCCAGCACACCCAGGTCACCAGGCAGTGCAGGCTGGGGCAATATCACTTGGTGAAGCTGCAGGGCTCCAGCCCCTCCGGACAGCTCCTGTGAGAAGACTGCTGCCTCTAACACTCTAGGTCTGCCAGGACCTTCTCCGTGGGGCCCTTCCTGCAGGGAACTCATGTCCCTTGCTGAGGGCTCCATCAACCCTCTCCCAAGCCCAGAAATAAGTCCCTTCCCCCATAATGTCATGGACCACGTCCCAGGGAGACTCATCCACATCATAGCAAAGTCAAGGAGGCTAAGGCCCACCGGCTCCCAAGATAGTTCTCGGCTCCTGGCCCTGCAATCTCAGGGTGGGGGCACATGCCTGGGTCTCATCTGAAAGGCCCACCCCCAAAGCTAAAGTTCTTGCCATTCGGCACCCTCGTGCCATTGTGACCCTTGCCCCAACTCCTCTCCCCCACCCTAACACTTCTCCCGTAGCCCACCCAAGCTCTACTCCTCCCTCTGGCAGATACCTCCATTTATTTCCTTATCTCAGCAGTATCCTCCTTGCCTAGCTCAAAGTCACCCCTGCCTCCCTGCAAAGGCCACGAGGTGACTGCTTGTTCCTACCCCAGGACCTCTGCACCAGCATTCCCCTCCACCTTGCACACTTCCCTTTATGTGGCTGCTGCTTTGGTCAGTTGGATCGCAGCTCACCCCTTCCTAGGGTGGCCAGGGCCAGACCTACCCACCCCACCCTACCTCCCTGCCATGTGACCCCCACCAACCCTGAGCAGTCAGGCTGATCCCTGGTCATATAGGGATGTGCTTGCCTTCATCAGTGGCAGGGTTACTGTCCACACCAAGCACCACACAGGGAATCAGAAAAAGCTCTGTGGTGCCCTCCCCAGCCTACTGACCCCTGGATCTGAGGAGGAGGAAGTGAGTCAGGAGCTGGATAGGAAAGCAGGCCTGGAGAGGATAGGTTTCCTGTGGGTGCCTCACCCCAAAACTGGCACCCTGCTGGCCCCACCCTATGTCTGACTTGCTGACAATTCATGGAGCAGCTCTTGGACCCCTGCACAGCTGCCACAATGCAGAATGAGGACCCCAGCCACAGGCCCTGATGCCTTCTTCCCCCGTGTGGGGGATCCCCAAAGCATCCCCCTCCCTGCTCTACACTGTACTCGTCTCCTCTCCTCTCTGAAAATGCACTGTACCCACCACTCACGCACATGCTGTTCCTGGGCCCAGCACTGCCCTTCCCTACATGGTAAGCACTACCTCCTGCTGGCAGCATTCGTGTCTCCCTGGCCCCTCTGGGTGTCACCCTCACTGAGCCCATGCTGTTATCCTTCTATGGCCCCAGCTTAATGGTCCAGGCCGATGAGTGGAGATGTGAGAGGCAGGACCTGGGGAAACTGAAAAAGTCATCCAAAGCCACCCAGGCTTAAGCACTGCAAAAGCCTGATACACACAAACCTACATTTGCACACAGAGCTGAGGATTCTGGGAGAAGCACACCTCAAAACTTGCTGCAGGGCCTCGGCACCCACCTTGGAACTTGCTGAAGAGCCTCAGTGCTCACCTGTCCCCAGCCCTAGTTTCCTGAGAGGTGTCTTCACTGCCGTGACCTGGTGGGGGACACCCAGATGGGCCATGCTCAGCAAGAAGTCCTTTGGACATGGCTGAGCCCCATGCACTCAGGGCTGGCCTCACCCCCTTCACAGACACACCCTCCCTGCAGTGTCCCTTCTTCCTCAGGCTCACAGCACCTCTAAGCTCTGGGCCTCTTGTCACCTTTCATCCACCTGCCTCCCACTTCTCTGCAAAGCCTCAGGCCTCAGTCACCACACCCTGACTGAATGCACTGCCCTGGGCAGATCACGTCCGCTTGTTACTTGCTCTGATCAGCATCCCCACTGATGGTCTGCGAGGTGGCTGACCTGGGGCTCCAATCTTAGGTGACACAGGCCACATACCCGACATCCCACAAATGCGCAGACACATCAGGCACAAGCACCATTTCCTGGGCCTGTGCCATGCTGGCCTCCTGGTGTGTGCTGGCCACCTCTGCTCCAATTGTGCCTTCTCTGGAATGAGGCTGGCTCCTTCCTGAGCAGAGGCGCTGCCATCCTCCAGGCAGGCTCTGATGACCCTGGAGGCAGGCCAGTTGGTCTCACTCACCTCAGCTGTCTACCAGGGATGTGAGGCTGAGAGGGACAGCACTGCATCTTCAGGGGGGCTCTTCTCAGACCCCACTTCTGCTCAAAGTGGTGGCCCCCTGGGATCAGTCCCATCCATCGCAGTGACTTTGGGAGGCCAGATTGACAGGGCTATGCTGCGGGAGGGTGGCCCTGACAAATGTTTCAAGGCCCTGGGCAGGTCACAGGTGGCCGGGCAAGTGGCTTGTGCCTATGCCACAGCTGACCTTAGCCCTGACTTCTGTGGCCATCTGCGTCATCTGCCCTCTTTAGGCCTGGTAGCCACCAGCCAATCCATCTGCCTGCCTGCCCCTTGCTCTTCCCACCTGGCTCATGGTCCCTCCAGACAGAAGGGGACAGGCAGAACTTGGGGAGACAGGGTGCCTCATTACGAAGGCCAGACCAGAGACCTCAAGGGCAAGAAACTGGCCCCAGATTCCAGAGAGAAGGCAAAATCAGGCTGGCCACCTGCTGTAGATCAGCTCCCATGCCAAGCTCACTACAGCCCCAGGGCCTTTGTACACACTGCTCTTGCGCTCATGCTCTTCCCTGACCTTCAGCGGCTGACCCTTCTCTCAGTAAAGTCTGCCTCACAGAAGCCCTCCTGAGCCAGCCTCCTGGTTCTCTGCATGGAGAGAGACATCATCACCAGACCTCTCCAGGATCCTGCCCTCACCTACTTTGGCTTTCCTTGTTTACATGGTTACTGTCCATTCCTACCACATGAACTTCCCACTCTCAATTTTCATCTGAGTCCACTATATACCTTACGTCCCTAGAGATTGACTTCCATCCTCAGTGTCCCCTTTCTCCTATCACTGATCTAACTCTACCTATGACTCCCAAATGCCCTCTCCCTCGTCCTCTCCCAACTCCCTCAAATCGACTCCAGCCACAGACTGTCCTAACTCTGTCATGCTCTGGGCTCAGGTCACACCCTGACCACCAACTAAATCCAGTCACAGGCTAAACCCTGACTCAAGTCACGTGCTAAGCCTTGATCTCAGATCTCAGTCACATTCTCAGCCCTGATGTAAGTCACATCCTGTGTCTTGATCTTGGACTGGTCATATGTGAACCGACCCAATCATACCCCAAGTCTGGATTCTGGCTCCACAAAGAACCCTGACTCTGGCCACAATCTGCAAGTCGTCTGTGCTCATCACAGAAGCAACACCGAAACCTGTGCTTTATAGACTGTTTACTACACGCTGGGCTGTGTCAAGCGCCATAAATACATCACCCAGTTCAATCCCCACCACAGCTCCGGGACAGGTGGCCTCATCCCACTCACAGGTGTGACTCAGAGCAGTTACTCAACCTTCCAGCAGCCATGGCCCGAGGCAGCACTGCACATTTGCACCCACACCCTGGCTGCAGGCCCAGCTGGGGGCTCCTGGCCTCACCTCCCCAGCCAGTGTTTGCCCACTCTGGCTTGGGGGTCTGCCCCTGGAAGCTCATCTCTCCATTATTCCAGGCCCTTGTTTGACCAGCCATCCCTTGAAACCACAGCTTCTGCCCACTCAGACCCAACTCCCCATGCGCAGTGCAGCCATCCACCCCCACCAGCTAAGGAGGGGAGCACTGTCTCTCCTCACAGACACCCAGCTCAGCCCTGGTTACCCACCTGCTGGCTCCCACCAGGATACCCGGGGCACTGGGGCCTAACCAACACCCCCCAGTGCCTCCTTCCCAGCTCCCCTCTACCTTACCTTAGTTCTGGCCCTGCTGGCAGTGCCCATGTCTCTACCTTTTCTCCCCCTGGACCCACACCTGTCTCCCGCATTGCTGGCAGATGCCTGCCTTTCCAGTCTCCCTGGGATGGCTATCACTCCTCCCCACAAAGCTTAGCAGGTGAATGCCTGTGTATCCTGTAAGACCCCTCTCCAAACCTCCTCCTGGGGGACTGCGGCAAAGGAGGCTGCTATACTCCAGGGTTAAACCCAGCCCTCCCTCCTCCAGCCTGTGCTGCCTCAGGCCTGTCTGAGCACCCATTTTCCATTGGCATCTATCGGGGTCCCCTGCACTGACCACTCAGCACTGTAAGGATGCGGATGCTATGGGAAAAAGAAAACAGGACAGTAAAGTCCTCTCATGCTCAGCACTGGGAGCCCAAACAGAGCCAGACACAGTCTAGCCCAAGAAAGCCACACATTCCAGCAGGGCCGACCACTATCCCATCTTATAGATGAGGACACTGAGGCTTGGTCCCAAGGTTAGCATATGGTTCCATGCCAGCTCTTGTACCCTTGGCTCCAGCCGCTGTCTGAGATGTGAAGAGAGGGTGACCAACATGGCCCTGCTGGCACTCTTCCTTTATGACCCCTTGCTTTGACACTAGAAGCCCCCTACTCCCTTGGGCAGCCATTGATATCTCCCCAAAGGGTAGGCTGGCTCCTCCTCTGCAGGACCAACCTTGCTCAGGGTTCAGCCCTCCCCTATAGTGTCCTCACATCCAGCCCTGGGCACAAAGAGCCCTCATTTTACAGGGGGAAACTGAGACTCAGAGGAATAGCTCAGGGTCACAGGCTGCAAGGACAAGACTGCATTTCCGGAACCCAGTGCTGGTCCCCCATGGCCCAACCCAGGGCTGAGAGTAGGGAAAGGGACACAAGAATCCACACTTCCTGCCTGGTCCTCACACCCCCACAGAACCGCAGCTGCTGGAGACCATGGCAGGGCCCTGTGATGGTCAGGCCAGCCTGTGGTGTCCCAAGAAGGCCATGCAAGGGCAGCCTGCTGCTTTCATGTCCACAGTCATCCAGCAGAATGCCACCTCTTCCAGGGAGGTGCTACCTGGGCCTTGTCCAGAGAACCAGCAACAACTGC